CATAAATGCAAACATTCTCGACAAAATATTAGCAAATCAAATCCAACAATGTATAAAAAGAATTATACGCCATGAAAAAATGGGATTTATTTCAGGTCTTTAAGAGTGGTTCAACATTTGGAAATCAATTAAAGGTGTCCATTATATCAATAGGTTAAAAATGAAGAATCATAGTATCATATCAATATAAAAATCTGCTTAAATCTGACATTCATGACAAAAACTTTCATTAAAATAACTACACTTAATATCATGTTTAATAGTGAGAAATTGGATGCTTTCTCAGTATGTATTAGGTACTAGGCAAGGATGTCCTTTCTTACCGCTCCTTTTAAATATCATACTGGAATATCTACCTAATGCAATAAGAAAATAAAGAACATTGTGGTGTATAGGTTCTTGGATATTGATGGTTTAGGATTCTTAGGATATAATCCTAGCAGTGGAATTGCTGGGTCAAAAGGCAGGTCAATTATTATTTTTCTGAGAAAGTTCCATACTGTTTTCTGTAATGGTTGTACCAGTCTGCAATCCCACCAACAGTGAACTAAGGACCCCTTTTCCCCACACCCTCTCCAACATTTGTTGTTTGTTGCTTTGTTTATGAGCTGAAAGACAAATACCATATGATCTCACCTTTAACAGGAAGCTAAACAACAAAACAAATAAGCAAGCAGAAAAAAAAAGACACTGAAATAGAGAACAAGGGGACAGTGACCAGAGGGGAGAGAGAAGGGAAGTTAAGGGGAAAAAGGGGGAGGGATTTGAAGGAACAAATAGGAAGGACACAGGGACAAGAACTAAGGGGGGTGGAAATGGGAGGGAGGTGGGGAGCAAGGGGTGGGGGAGGCTGGGATGGGAGAAATAGACAAAAAAACTGTACTTGAAAAATAACTAAATAAAATTAATAAAACAGAAAAGAAAATAAAGAAAAAGGCATACAAATTATGAAGGAAGAAATAATCTTTGCAGGTGGTATTGCTGTTTTGTAGAAAGTCTGAAAGAATTGGATTAAAAACCTGGAATCTTATAAATAATCATAGCAAACCTGAAGGGTTTACAGGTAGATATAAAAAAGTCAATCATTTTCTTATGTACCAGTAATGAACAAGTGGTATTTGAAGTTAAAAACACGGTATCATTTATATTAGAACCCCCCAATGATATGATTATATATAAATCTAATAAAATATAAACAGGATATATATGAGAAAAATACAAAACTCTAATGAAAAAATTAAAGAACTAAATAAATGGAGAGATAATCCATGTTCAAGAATAGTAAACTTTAATATTTTCTCTGTGTTAGTTCTTGCTCAACTTGATCTATAGATCCAATGAAATCCCAATCAAAATCTCAGCAAGTCATTTTGTAGATAGCAACAAACTGATTATAAAATTTATATGAAGAGATGACAAAGATAGAAGAGTAAACCCAATATGGAATGAAAAAATCAAAATTGGAAGGCAGACACTATTCAACTTCAAGACTTACCTTAAGACTTCTGGTCAAGATGGAGGCATAGGTAGACACACTGTACCCTTTTGCACAACCAAAATTAAGGACAACATAAATTTAGAAACAAACAAACAAAAAAACCCAAGCAGAATTGACAGAAAATTGAACTGCATGGAAGTCTCGACAACCATTCATCCAAACCAGTAAGAGGGGTAGAGTCCATGATGGGAGGAGAGGGGTCGAGGTGGGAAAAAGTGGTGGCTGGTGAACCCAGGCATGCAGGTGGTGGCTGGCAGACCCTGGGTGTGGGGAGGCAACAAGCAGACCCTATGGGACGTGCAAGGCAACTAGCTGATCAGACATACATTCACACGCAGATAATCCAGGAGAAAATGGGCAGCAAGACAGACCACACAACCCAGGGCCCCAGGGCCTGGAAATAAAGCCTAAAAGCACCATTTGAAAACACTTGTGGGGGTTGAGATGCCAGGAGAGACTCCCAGCCTCACAGGAGAGTTCGTTGGAGAGACCTACAAGGTCCTAGAACATACACAAACCCATCTACCTGGGAATCAGCACCAGAAGGGCCCAATTTGCTTGTGGGAAAAAGCAGAAGGGACTGAAATCCGAGAGAGCAGAACAAACACCATTGCTCCCTCTCTGACCCTGCCCCAACGTACAGCATCACAACCCAGCCACTGCGTTGCCCTGCCCTGGTGAACACCTAAGGCTCTGCCTCTCATACATAATAGGCAGGACAAGACGCCCCCCCCCCCAAATGGCTTAAATGGAAGAACAGATCAAAGCCCCAGAGCCAATATTTTTAAGTGACCAAGAGATAGCCAACCTATCAGATGCACAGTTGAAAGCACTGGTGATCAGGATGCTCACAGAATTGGATGATTTGGGTTGCAAATTAGATGAAAAAATGAAGGTTGCACTACATGAAATAAAGAAAAATTCACAGGGAACCAATAGTAATGGGAAGGAAACTGGGACTCAGATCAATGGAGTAGACCAGACGGAAGAAAGGAACAACCAAACAGAAAAGAATAAAAAAACAAGAATTCAAAAAAATGAGGAGAGACTTAGGAACCTCCAGGACATCTTTAAATGTTCCAACCTCAAAATCATAGGGGTACCAGAAGGGGAAGAGAAAGAGCAACAAGTGGAAAACTTATTTGAACAAATAATAAAGGAGAACTTCCCCAATCTGGCAAAGGAAATAGACTTCCAGGAAGTCCAGGAAGCTCAGAGAGTCCCAAAGAAGGTGGACCCAAGGAGGAACACACCAAGGCACATCATCATTATATTAGCCAAGATTAAAATGAAGGAGAGAATCCTAGAAGCAGCAAGAGATAGGGGATAGTCACCTACAAAGGAGTTCCCATCAGACTGTCAGCTGATGTCTCAAAAGAGACTTTGCAGGCAAGAAGGGGCTGGAAAGAAGTATTCCAAGTCATTAAAGGCAAGAACCTACATCTAAGATTACTCTATCCAGCAAAGCTTTCATTTAGAATGGAAGGGCAGATAAAGTGCTTCTTAGATAAGGTCAAGTTTAAGAAGTTCATCATCGCCCAGCCCTTATTATATGAAATGTTAAAGGGACTTATTTAAGAAAAAGAAGATAAAAAACATGTACAGTAAAAAGACAGCAAACTCACAGTTTTTAACAACCACACCTAAAACAAAAGCAAACTAAACAAACAATTAGAACAGGAACAAAACCACAGAAATGGAGATCACATGGAGGGAGAGCAACAGGGAGTGGGAGGAGGAGAGAGTGGGAAAGGTACAGAGAATAAGTAGCATAGACGGTAGGTAGAAAATAGACAGGGGGAGGGCAAGAATAGTATGGGAAATGTAGAAGCTAAAGAACTTAAGACACATGGACATAAAGTAAAGGGGGAATGTGGGTGGGAGGGGGTGTGCAGGGTGGAGGGGAATGAAGGAGAGGAAATGGGAAAACTGTAATAGCATAATCAATAAAATATATTAAAAAAGAAAAAGGAGCCATAAAAAGGGCTTACTTTAAAGGTATAATAATCACGAGAGTGTGGTATTGGTTAAACAATAGACAAAATGACCAGTAGAACAAAACAGAGAACCCAGAAATAAGCTGCCATAAATACAGTCAACTGATCCTTGACAAAAACAAACCAAACTAAACCAACCAAACAAACAAAAAACTAAGCCAGTACAGTGAAACAAAAGATAGTTTTCTCAACAAATGGTACTGGGCATCTACATGCAAGAAAATAAATCTAGACAGACACAGACTTTGCAGCCTTCATAAAAATTAACTAAAAATAGTCCAAACACCTAAGTTTAAAACACAAAACTATACAAGTTCTGAGAGCTAACTCAGTAAAAATATGAGAAAGTATGTGAACATGCCCAGCACAAAATATTGTGGCTAAATGAAAAAATAAAAAGAAGCTTAATATAGTATGGGTCATCAAGAAAATTCTGATTAAGATCATGAAAAGGTGCCAATATTTACATTCCATGTCAGAATAACAACAACAGAAAAAGCTGATGATAAAGTGTTGACAAGTATGTTCAGAAGCTCACACTCTCCTTACACTTTTGGTTGGATTATCTATTATCTATTCATTATCTACTAAATCTGACTTAGGTACACCCTATGGCTTAATAATTGTTTTATAAGTACATTCCAAATGATACCCACTACTCACTAAAAGACTAAATATATGAAAACATTCAAAGCAATACAATTTTCAATAGTCAAAATGTGACATAATCCAAATGTCCGTTAATAATAAAATTAGTAATAATATATAGCACGAAATACTCTATGGCAAGAATTTGCAATCTGCAACCTGAGGCCACATTTAGACCTAAAATTCTTTTTGCATTTTAAAATGATAAAAAATAAAAGTAATTAGCCAAAATAATAAAATGAAGAATATTTAGTGATATATAAAATTTATATAACATTGCAATTTCCATGATCAATTTTGTTTCAACACAGCCATGATCGATTGTTTATGTATATTCTTGCACTGCTACAGAGAAGTTGCAACAGAGATTGTACTGCTAAAAAAGCCTAAGTTATTTACTCTGTTTTCTCACAAAAGAGTTTTTGTCTAAAAAAACTTCCAACCCTCTTCTACAATAATGAGTCAATGAAATTTTTCTACATGATATGACATGGAAGAATAACACAGCATAATGTAGAACAATTTTTAAAAATGAGATGCAAAGGATGCATGCAAATTGCCTGATTTTATGTTAAAAATTTTAAGTGGGAATAACTTGTGAAACAGAAGTCAAAATAGTGATTACCATTATCGTGGTAAACAAATTTGTCTTAATTTTTGCATCTCCCAGTGCCTTACATAGGTCATGTACTTCAAATAATTCATTCATTGATGCCCATTAAATATATCATGACTAATGGGAAGAGAGTGGGAATAGTAAGAAAAGATCATGAATGAGACAGAAAGAAAAATAATCATGCAATAGAAATCTCTGAACAAAGAAAAAATTGAAGAAATAAAATATGTAGTTTACTCACTTAATGTAGTAACTAAACCAATAATAATTGATAATAATACTACTACAAGTCCAGATAGTGCCTTAAATTTGTCACAACCTGAAAAACAAAAGACAAATACAGGTAGATTAAGAAACAGTCTGGTTGGTTGGACGGAGCGCTGTCTTGTGCACTGAAAGGTCATGAGTTCAGTTTCAGACACTTACTTAGGTTGCAGGTTCGGTCCCTTGCTGTGGTGCCTGTGGGAGGCAACTGACTGCTGTTCTCCTCAGGTTGATGTTTCTCTCTCTCTTTCTCTATCTCTGGAATCAATATATGCATATAAACATATATATGTATATATATTTTAAAAAGCATCTAATAACACTAAAATTTGCATTCTTAACTGCATCTAACAAACCTCTTTAGGCAGTTTTATTCTGATATTTCACAAGGACATGACACAAAACAAACTTTTTCTGTTTGTTGTAGGAAAAAAATCTGGTATTTTTTGGTTGAAATTTCTCAGGACATCCTTATATCCGATCCAAGTGTTACTATGAACTTGACTGCCAGTCTGAGAATTAAATATGCACCCCTAAAGATGGTGGGCCACCCCCAGTCTTCACTACTGTCGTTCAGGGAGGCAGTTTTCAACCATTTCCATTTGATGGCACACACAAACTAATTCTGTGGCACACCAAAATATATATTATACTTTTTGCTGATCTGATAAAAATAGGCATAATTTTTATTTATTCACACTGGAGAGCTTGTGTTGTGCTGCCTGTTGTCATTTTTTTTTAAATTTGACTATCTAAGGAAAAAGAAGTCAGTGCCACTGATGAAATAGTTGGGTGTTGCATGTTTGTGCCACTGCACAGGTTTGGAAATCGCTGCTCAGTGGCGACATATCAGCACATCTTGATATTGTTTGAATGTATCTAAGAAAATATACTTTCTAACTAATGAAAAGTCTATGTTAAATGATTGATGGCATAGCATATTTGAAAGATCATAGAATAATCAATCAAAAGATTTAGGATTAAGATCTTTGCCACAAACAAACAATGGGAACTTGGATAAGTCATTCTTTTTTTTTTTCCTGGTCCTGTACTTCCTTATCTGCAAAGTCATAGAACAGAATTCACCTCTGATCAGAAATTGGTTTTCTTTTACTAGTGCCCATTTTGGAAAATGTGGTACATTAGTTTTTTGAAATGAATTATTTTTATTTTACAAGATTATAAAGTATTTGTTCTTATTGCAAAATTTTATAAAATTTAAAAATATATAGAAGTTAATTTAAGCTAGACTATACATTTATGAGAGTGTTTATCATTCCTATCTTTTCCCCTAATAAATAACTATTTTTTGTTGAATATTTCATAGTGTATGTATTAAAGAAATGATATTTAAAGTGCATCCAAATTTACACTACTTAGAGATAACCAGCATTCCATTTGTATTAACATCCTTCCATCTTATGTGTTTCTCTAATCCTATTTTCACTCATATAGCCTTTCACCACCTAAAACCATAATTTTAAATGAGTACAATTATCTTGTACCCATTGTTGCATAACCCAATATTTTCAGTTGACAATATGTTCTTCCCATGTATGGGACACCATGGAAAATGGCCCTTCATAAGTCATGCCTCCCTCTGTCCACTATCCCTTGCACACAGGATATTGCTACTCTCCTATCAAGAGGTTCACTTTATTTCCTGACACCTGAATTTGAATTGATCTTGTGTCTTGCTTTGACCAATAAAATATGGTAGAAGTGGCAGTCTGGGACCTTAAAGCCCAGACCTAAAGAGATATTGCAATTGCAATTTCTGCTTTCACTCATCTGGAGCACAGCCACATCTTAAGAACTGGAGAGAGAGAGTGAAAGAGAGAGAAAAAGAGGCGAAGAGAAAGACAGAGACAGAGACAGGGGAAATATGGAGGATAAATAGCTGAATCCAACCACCATTAAGGCTTAAATCTGTGAGTGGTGGTATTTGGATCCCCAGTCCCTGCCCAAATATCCCAGCTGACATGATATGGAGGAGACCAGCCATTCCCACTGATTCCCGTCTACATTCCTAACCCAGTGCAAGTGCCAGCAGTGTCATGATTGTTGTTTTAAGCCACTAAAAGTTCAGAGTGGCTGTTCATTAAGAGCAACAGATGAAGTTATCCATTATGTAAAAATGTAACTTTACATCACAATTTTTCTTTAAAAATTAATATCAGATATTTTATTTTTTCAATTTTTTATTAAATCATGTTTTATTGTTATTCTATTATAGTTGTCATGATTTTTCACCCTTTGCCCTCCGCCCATCCCACCGCCCTGCTTCCACAGTCAATCCCTACACGGTTCTCCATGTTCGGGTGTCACTCACATGTGTTCTTTGTCTAGTCCCTTCCGATTCTTTGCACCAATATTCTCCTCCCCAACCCCAAGTCTGATTAATACTCTTTCATATGGCTCTACCATTAACATAAACATTAGTTCTCTTCTGATGGACATTTAAGCTGCTTTATTTCTTTTTTAAAACCAGAACTAGAATAAATGTAGTTTAAATGTTTTTGCACACTTATCCAATTATCTTATTGGACAATTGAAAAAACAAGTAAAATGATATATATCAGTTAAATGTTTTTCTAAAAGTATGGTACTAGTCTAAACTATCAGGAGTAATACATGAAAATACTAGTACTGATCAGAATTCACAGTAAAGTAATTTTTAAAAATATTGTAAGGAAGGAAAGGAAATGAAGAAAAGAATATCAACATTATTTTGGAATCACCCAGCCTTCATGATTTCATCTATCTGAGAAATGTAATTATAGAGTTGTGTCTAATTTTGTGCATTTCTTCCAAATTTTTGAAAAGTCTTGTCCTTACCTGTGCATTTTTTCTGCTTATCTGAAATTTCAAAACTACACAATAAGCATAATGTCTAGTAACTGCAGTGCCTCACCTTTGACACAGCACTGTGTTTATTCTTTCACCCTTTACCAAATGTTTATTAATCACCTACTATGTGTTAGTTTCCATTAACATAATAGTAAACAGAAAGACACAATGCATAATCTCCTGGAACATACATTTAGGCAAGACTGAGAAACTGATAAAAATGAATTTAAAATTATAAATTGCAACAGGAGAAAGAAAGGCAATAAGCACTCTTGATTCAAGAAGGGGGAAGAGCCTAAAAACGGTAAGCAAGAGGCTCACTCTGGGGAAACTACATTTAAACCAAGAGGTAAAATGTGAGCAGTAGCCATCTGCATGAAATTCTGCAGGACATTTGGTCCTGCCTAAAATGTTCGCCAAGACACTTTAGTCTATGCCTAAAGGTCCTCGGTAGTTGGTCTTGTCCAGAATGTCCAGGAACATATTTGGTCTTCACCAAATCCACAAATGGTCCTTCATGTTGATCCAAAATGTCCACACATAAGCAAATATGCCTGCATTCAAATAGCCCATAACCTTTATTTCTACTTTGGGTTTATAGAATTAATACATTATTAAAAATGCTATCATGTTTTCTTGGTCCGATAATTGTGTTGCAACTGTCCTGTCAGAATAACACTTCATGTCTCAGGGGCCTCAGATGGGTGGGCCTGGGTTCCAATCTTTCAGGTGAGCAGGAGTTCTATTAACTATGGACCAAATGGTTCCATGGGTATACTGAACATTAACCATACCAAATGAACAGGAAAGAGCTTTTTAAGCAGAGAGAACAGCAAATGCAGTTGCCTTGAATCAGAAAAGAAAATAAAAGAATGTAGCAAAGTACAATGGTGACTAGGTAAGAGGTAGTACAGGAGATATATGATGTAAGCTTTGAAGCTGATGGAAAAGCACTTGATCTTCTCGTAAGTACAGTGGGGAGCCACTGAATTTTTTTAGTGGTTCTTTGGCATTAGCAGATTCATGTTTTTAAAAGTTCTCGATGCGTACATCTGTCTTTTCAGCCTTTTGGGGGGCTGTCATATGGCTCAGGTGACAATTCAAGTTCAAGCTTTTAATCTACTTTCAAAAATTACCTTATTAATTTCTTTATCAATTTTCTTCAAATATTAGGTATCCATAAAACAAATACTTGTTTTCCATATCCTACACCATCAGTCAGCTTGATATGTCATCATGACACTGTGAATTAGTGTAATGGACAAAGGATTTTATTGTTATCAATACCACAGGTTCAAAATCTTGATTAAATATTTACTATGCACAATTTTATTTTCTTACTCTATTTTAGCATATATCTCTTCATCCATTAAATAGTACTATCTCTTTTTAAAATTATATATATAATATATATATTATATATATAATATATATATAATATAATATATATATATATATATAAGTCAGACCTGCTTTCAGAAGGTCTGACTTTTAAGAGCAATCATATAAAAGAAAACTTTTCTTATTATTTTTTCTTATGTTACCTGTCCCATCTTTTCATATTTTACTGATTATATATGAGGAGGGACAAAAGATTATTTAGCGCTGTACCAAGGAGAAATTTTAAATATACTTCTATTTGCTATTTTAAGCAGGGTAGTTAGGCTCTTTTGGAATATATTCTGCCTGAGCACTAAAACCTAGTTTTCTATGCTCAGTACGAATAGCTTTCATTTTATAAGGCCCTTCTTGCTATTTTTATTTTAAAAAACCAACAGAAAATGTTGGTCTCCTACTATAAACTTAGTATTAACAGACAGTTACTAGATTTAATGTGGTAACTACATGGTAAGATAAATATGAGACAATGTTGATCACTACACTGTACACTTGAAACTAATATAATATGGTATGTCAACTGTACTTTAATGTTTAAAAAGATGAATTTCAAAGAAGTTGCTCAGCCCTTAAAATGTGTTCAACAAAGGAATGTAAAAAACAGATGATGTCTGAGGGCAGCTCAACAAAAAACCCATTTAGTTAATAACTAATAATGGAAGAAAAAATGGAATAATCATGGCTAAGAGAGTTACTTAAATACACTCTGAAGGCCGTTTAGGAAAGGGGGAGGCTATGCGCATCTTGTGCATTAGTTCTCAGACATTCTGTTAAGGTGTTAACCTGTTGCAAAATGCAGCTCAAGACTGACTCATAACATCTTGGAACACCAAGTGCTATATAGTAACATAAGTATTTAACTGCCATGTGCATTTGAAAAGAATGTGTATTTTAGCTTCTTTGGGATGAATATATGTATATATATATATAGCTGATAATTAGCAATATTTTCACCAATATGTCCTGTAGAGCAAGGAAAATGAAGGAAAGAATAAACAAATGGGACCTCATAAAAATAGAAAGCTTCTTTCTGCACAGCTAAAAAAAGCATCAGCAAATGAAAGGGAACCAACCATATGGGAAGATGTATTTGCTAGTGATACCTCAGACAAGTATTTGATCTCCAAAATATATAAAGAACTCACACAACTCCACACCAGGAGGACAAATAACCCAATTAAAAAGTGGGCAAAGGATCTGAACAGACGCTTCCCCAAGGAGGACATACAGAAAGCCCAGAGACATATGAAAGGAGGCCCATCATCACTAGGCATCAGAAAGATGCAAATTAAAACCACGATGAGATATCACCTCAGACTGGTCAGAGTAGGTATCATAAACACAGCAACAAACAACAAGTGCTGGAGAGGTTGTGGAGAAAAGGGAACCCTAGTGCACTGTTGGTGGGAATGCAGACTGGTGTAGCCTGGGGAAAATGTTATGAAATTTCCTCAGAAAACTAAAAATGGAACTGCCTTTTGATTCAGTAATTTCACTGTTGAGATTACACCCTAAGAATCTTGAAACAACAAATTCAAAAGAACTTATGCACCCCAATGTTCATAGCAGCAGAATTTTCAATAGCCAAGTGCTGGAAACAGCCTAAGTGCCCATCAGTAAACAAGCAGATAAAAAAACAGTGGTATATTTACTGAATGAAATACTACGTAGCAGAAAGAAAGAACTCCAATCCTTCATGACAGCATGGATAGAACAGGAGAATACTATGCTGAGTGAAATAAGCCAGGTGGTAAAAGAAAAATACCATATGATTTCACGTATAAAGTGAAACCTAATAAATGAAACAAACTAGGAAGCAAAATATAACCAGAGACATGGAAATAAAGAACAAACTGACAGTAACCAGAGGGGAGAAGGGAGGGTGTTAAGGGCAAAGAAGGAAAAGGGTGGTCAAGGAACATGTATAAAGGAGCCATGGACAAAGACAACAGGGAGGGGGTGAATTTAATGTGGGAGGTGGGGGAGAGTAGGGTGGGGAGAGTACTGGGGGGAAATGGGGACAACTGTAATTCAACAACAATAAAAAATGACTTGACCTCTTTCTTGTGATTTTTGTCTCTCTGTTTGTGTATTGGAACTAGCCAATCTCTTTATTTAACCAGCAATCATTTATATGCATGAGAGAATTACGCTTTGTGATTTTTGCCTTTACAAACCTTGACCTTTTTGTTCTTTCTGGAGCAAAATTTAAGTTGCTGCCTGAATGCGTGTCTCCAGAAGTATAGCTCCTTTTCATAAGATAAGTGTTCTTTGATCTTTGTTACAAAATGAAGCTCTTCTTTGGTTAACGCAGTATAACTGAAACAGTACTACATTGATCTCTATAATAATCAGAAAAGCGAAGGATTCTAATTATGTTCCCTATGGAGAAGTTTTATTGGTTTAATTAATTTCTCTCAGTTTCTGAATCTAACCTTCTCCAAAGACAGTTAGCAGAAAAGAGCCAATGAATTTAAAGTCAAACAAAATACCCTATTATCTAGCTCATAGCTATAGAAAATAAATATGATAAGATGCCAATAAGTAGAATTAAGGACATATTAAAAAATAAAGTCCAAAATAAATCAATAGATGAATCATATCACACACTAAGTTACTACTATTACTATGGTGTTTATAATTTCAAATTATATATCTATACATTTTCTATTTAGTGTTATACATAATAGATATGATTTGTTTGATTTAATGTAATTTTAAATTCACATATTTATGACTTAGTGAAGTTGCTTGCATCTACTTGTTTATATCAAAGACAAAAAAATTCATGTTAGAAACAAAAGGCTTTGATATGAGAATGAAGTTAGCTGTTTCAGCATGTAATCCTCTCATTTATTGTCATGATATGCACCTCATCCGTCAAGAAGATATTCAGACTATACACACTAAGTGTTTGTGAGAAAGTTTGGTTTGGGTGAGCCAACTCTTTGGCAAAATTTTTATTTATATTTATTAGAGTTATAATAACTTTAACCCTCCCCCCACCCCATGGCTAAGGCTGAGTGAGCAACCTTCAGAATATAAACCACTAAGGAGACAAAGCTAATCTCCCTGGCAGGGATGCTGCTTCTGCCCCCTTTACTTCACCTTGCCTGGCCCCCAATTCTTGATTGGTTAGCCAATGATGTGTAAGATTCCTCAAGAGGGAAACGACCTAAGACAGGCATGATCATGGGGAGGCCCCAGGGAAGGACTTGGGAGACTACAGCAAAAGGGGAAGATAGACCCTCCCCCCCTCAGCTTTGACATAGCCTGAGTCCTCATTCTGTCTGCAAGAAGTCTCCTAATCTCTTGGCTGCCTGACTTAAACCTGAAACAATGACGAAGGGCGGTGCAGCCCTGTGCTGGAAAGGGCAAGTTCCCCAGGTGATCAGGCCTAAGAAAGAATACATAAAATTCTGTGAAACCTGCTTTGCTAAGAATGCTCTTGGTTAAATGATAAGGGTCTGAGCAGGAAATGAGTTTGTTTCCCAAAGTTTTGTAGCCCTTTAGCTAATAGACCCTGACTCAGAATAGGCCCTCATAGTTCTTTGTATGTTATCTATTATTTGATCCTCACTGCCTGACAATGATTAATGAACTTTACCTGTATTCCTGTGCTAATTGAACCCAATAAAAGCCTGTCCGGGCAAGGGTTGGTGCGCCCTGCCCTTGAGAAAGTAGCCATGCCGTCCCTTTTCCTCCACAGGACTCAGTAGTCGGTGTGAAGTTGTCTCATATCTCATCCATAAAGCCTGGAACACTCCAGGCTGGTGCATGCGTCAACAAATAGAAGAAGATAAAAAACTATTAACAGTAAAATGACAACAAACTCACAACCATCAACAATTGAACCTAAAAAAACAAAAGCAAAAGCTAAGCAAACTAGAACAGGAACAGAATCATAGGAATGGAGATCGCATGGAGGGTTATCGGTGGGGAGGTAGAGTGGGAGAATGGGGAGAAAACATTCAGGGAATAAGAAGCATCACTGGAAGACACAAAATAGGGGGAGGTTAAGAATAGTATAGGAAATGTAGAAACCAAAGAACTTATATGTGTGACCCATGGACATGAACTAAGGGGGGATGCTGATGGGTGTGGGGGTACAGAAAGGAGGGGGTATGGGGAGAAAAAAGGGATGACTATAATAGCATAATCAACAAAATGTGCTTTAAAATTTTTTTAAATGTAATATTTTTTAAAGAAAAATAGGAGGAAAAAATACTCCAGAAAGCAAACTTGAACACATGGAAATATGTGATATAAATGACAGATAATTCAAGATTGCAGTCCTGAAAACACACAGTGAGATGTAGGAGAGAATACAGAGAGGCAATTTAATGCACTCAGAAATCAAATTTATAAACAAAATGAGCACTTTACCAAGGAGATTGAAACTTTAAAAAAGAACCAAATAGACATTTTGGAGATGAAGCATTCAGTAAAAGAGATCAGAAATGCACTGGCAAGCACAGGAAATAGAGGCAACCAGGCAGAGGAAATAATCAGTGATATGAAAGATAGAAATCTAGAAATAATGCAGAGGAAAGAAGAGACTTGGTAAGCATAAAAAACAAAAGAGCTCCATGAGAACTACTTGACTGCCTCAGAGAAAAACAATATAAGAATAATAAGCATATCAGAAGAAAAGAAGGAGAAGGGAATAGAGACCCTATTCAAACAAATAGTTGATGAGAACTTATCAAACCTATGGAAAGAGGTTGATCCTCAAATCCAAGGAGAAAACAGAACACTAGTTACCTCAATTCAAAGAGGCCTTCTCCAAAGCACACTGTTTTAAAACTGTCAGAGATTAATGACAAAGAAAGAGTTCTCAGTGTTGATTGATATGTAAGGTCAAACTTAACACAGATTTTATGTGTGGCTAGAAAGCATTCTTAAAATTTTGGTTCAGATATTTTCATGTTACCACAAAAATATTTAATCACATTGTTTTCAATTCTCTTTGATTTAACCTTAGAAAGAATTATTAAATTGTATAAAAGGACTAAAGTATGTATGTGTTCTAATATGACCTGCAACAATAATTTCTGACTTGAATGTACTGGCAGGTTCAAATAAAATAAAGTGGCAAGGGTTTAAGACTTACAACAGTCCCCAAATCGTGGATTGGTGTATTCAAATCATTTTAGTTTCATTCCCTGCTTTCTTCACACTAGTTTGACTATAAATAACCTTGTCGAAATAATTTTAAAAGATTTTCCTGTTAGTTTAGAATTGGGATTGTATATATTCTGAGGTTGTAATTTAATACACCCAATAATACCACCTAGTTTTCTGAGATTTTTGGTACATTATCTTTACTCATCCTTTTTAAGGTTGTCAGGGGCATCCTCAAAAATATCAGTGTACTGGCAATTATTTAGATAAGGGCCAGGGAGAGAGACAATCTTTCTGCCATAAACTACCTCTGACATCTAGTTTATTCTCACATCTTCATAGTCCATAAACAATCTTTTAAGAAATTACAAATATTGGGCAATTTTCATATCTTGAGTGCGTTCTAGGTACTGAATGACTATGCAGATTATATTTAACATCTCCTCCAGTAATGCCGGTCTTCCTTAGCCAGTAATTCTAAGTAAAAGTGAAACTAAATCTTGAAAAGTTTTAAGTTGTGGTTAATCCTTCTCCAGTTTTAATTAAGATAAGATAAAGTGAATCTGAATTAAAAGCACAAAATACTCAATTACAAATCTTAATTTTGAAGTACTAATTTTCTTTCATGGGAAGAAAAATGAAAGAAAGAAAATTAGTACTTTATCTAAATATAAGATTTTTTTCTCCTTGAATGATGAAACTGCATGCAATGCAGCCTTACCTTGCTCTTTTGCACCAGTGTCTTGGCTGTTGATAGCGTTTTCTGGCACCCGAGGGGCATCTAAGGCGATGCTTTGTGTCATAGCTTCCAAAAACTCTCTTCAAAGTTTTCACTTTAAAGCAAAGGTGTTAGAGTTGTTTTTACAACACAGTTTCAGACTATAGTCACACTACTTCTGTAAAGAAAAATAAATGTTTAAATGCTCTTTCTCAAAATGAAAGTAATCACATGACTATGACTGAGTCATTGTTCTGCTGTGAAAAAAACCAGGAAATTAAAACAACGTAGTCGTCTTCTTTCTTAGTAAAGAAAAACTCACAGATACAAACGGCATGATGAGAACAAGAGGGATAGATAGGTAGAGAGTGGTAGGACAGGGTAAAAGGGGTTAAATGGGGATGGATGGAGACTTGACTAGATGTGGTGAACACACAATACACTATAATGATAGTGTATTATAGAAATGTATACATGAAACCTACCCATTTTATAAATCAATGTCACCCCAATAAGTTCAGTTTAAAAATAATCATTTTGAAAATAAAAAAGAAACGTGCAGAAAACCAAAGTGTCCTTCTATACAGGACTGGAAAAAGAAGATATGATACCTGCATACTATGGAAAAGTACTGAGCTATAAAATGAAATACTGCCATTGGCAAGAGCATGGATTGACCTTGAGAATATTATGCTAAAGAAAATAAGTCAGCAAGAAAGAGCTAAGAACCATATGATTTCAATCGTATGTGGGATTTAAAATCGAAACTCATAGACTCAGCAGTATGATGGTTACCAGAGGGAATGGGTTAGGGGGTTAGTAAAGGCTAAAGGGAGCCAAATGTATAGTAACAAAATGATTTTTCTTTGGGTGGTGGGCACACAGTGCACTGTGCAGATCATGTATCATAGAAATGCACACATGAAATCCATGTGACCCTATTGACCAGTGTCATCCCGACACATTAAATTTAAAAAACTAAAAAAGGAATAATAAGAAAACCATATATTCCTTCTTTTGCTTTTCAGGAAGCATTCCATTGTTGCTCCAACTTTAAAAAGTTTCACTAACAGAAAATCAACACCAGCAGAAAACATCCTGCATAACCTTGTTTAGCTTCTAAATCTTAGTTTTTGCTACTTTTCAACATATTTTCTCCAGTATGGACAGTCCTAACATTACCATAGGTACTTGGCTGATTATTAATAAGGAAGGGAAGCAAAGGGACCTGGACATTGAACTTCATAACTGGGGGCATGAGCCTGCTTGCTTCACCAGGTGGCTATAGCATCACACCCCAGGGAATCATAGCACTGATTGGCCAAGAGGATTTAACACTCCTCTCTTCCCCCTCTTCAGTATCAGATTGTTGGCCTGTGTAAAGGTAGGTGCTTCAACATAGATGCCTGTCAGTCTAACTAAGGGTTGTGGACCTATATCAAAACCCTTAGAAAACTTGGGAATTTCACTGATTACTTCGAAAAAGCACCTGGTCTATTCCAAATCTGAACTAGGGAAACAAAGAAGCTCTCTCTGTTTCTCTCACCCACCAGGTAGCGCATTTGCCCTACGCGTTGGCAGGTTCTCTCTCACCCTGGAACTTGTAACCCCGTGGCTCAAGCAGCTTTGGGGGCCCAGAGCAGACTGTGTGAGCTTCAGAAATATTAAGCTTTAATGTGAGGCGAAAACTCTGGATGCTGGCTTTTGTGTTGGCCTTGCTGAGGACATAGTTGAACTTTTTCCTTGGGGGAATGGACAGAAAGAGGACACAAGGACAGCCTTTGCTCGGATGAACTTTTTTGCTGCACCACAACATCCCATGCGTGTGTCCTTGGGATGCTTTCCTTGCAATCCCGTGGCAGAAATTGATTTCCACCAACAACATCTGGTGGGCCAACAGGAGTGAGAGAAGCTGTGGCTTGTGATAAGAAAGCCTGCTTTTCTCCACGTTATATTCTCTCTGGTCCAGCCTGCACAGCTCAGACTGCGTCTTAGGAATGCCCTGTCCTGCATGCAAAATGGCCCCAGCGCTGTGAGTCCCTGCAGGGTAATGGGCAGATGGGTGTCAGGAGACCCCAGAATGTGGGGAGTGGGCACACACTCACTGCTGCCTTGGATTTTATTCCTGGTGCACCAAAACCCAAGCATGCCCAGCTGTTCCATCCCCGTTCTCTGTGGCAACCCCAACCTTGCTCGTAGAATGGGGGACCTCCCTCAGCCCATGCTGAGCCCAGTCAAGCTGTGAGCACCACAGGCACACACAGCTCAGCTCCTCCTTTGCCTTTCAATGCCATCTCCCTGCCCCTCAGACTGCGCAGGCGCCATGCCTCCTGGGGCTCAGCATCCCGGCCCTGACATCTCCTCAGCTCTGGGGTCCACTGCCCAGAACAAGATTTGGGAATTCCTCTCCTTTCTTGGGAATTCCTTATCTTTCGACAGTGTCAGTCACTGGTACTCTTGTCCCACAGGCTTAGGCCGAAGCTCTGTGGGTGTCTGCCTCTCTGCAACCTGGGTCTGCGCACCATGGAGGGAGAGGCAGCAAAGAAAGCTAGCGGAGACCCAAGGTCCAGCAACTAGCATCCACGTGTTGTAAGGCAGCTGGAGCCACCTCTGTGTTCTACTCATTGGTCGCCACAGCCATGTAGTATGGAGCCCGGTAAATCTCAGCTTCTGCTACAAATGTAGTTGCTTGTCTGTGCCTCTGGGGCACCAAATTCTTAGTCCTCACTTAATGTTTCTACACAATAAGTAAAAAGCCTTGGATGCAGTTACTCACAGAAAATGGCTACCTCACCTTACCAGGATTCCTACAGGACAGAGGCTACTAGAACTTGCCCAATTGCTTAAGGTCAGTTAGGAGAGGAGATTTCTACCCAAGGCGGTGGAGGTACTAGGCAACCCCTACAGGTACTAGGGTAGAAACCTTCAAAAATGCCAGAGGCCATCAGAATCGCTCATGTGGAGTTAAATAAACCCAATTAAACAGTGCTGGCTCACCACTGACTTTTAATAAGGCTCTGCATAAGGCAATACTTACACTATTGTATTGCCACTTGGGGAAGGCCCCTACCCCCAGTGTGGGAGGGGTAAGGCAGAGGCTGTGGGAGGAACCCAACAGCTGGCACAGGCTGGATCAGGCTGTGGAACAGCCGTGGTCACAGACCATCCCTAGCTTTTGTTTGACGGAGGCTAGGGAGCATGGGAGAATTCTCATGTCTCCCTCAAAAAACCAGTATCTCCCTAGTTTATGAAAATAAAAGCCCCCCCCCCCATGAGAATGAATGTTTTCTTACAGTATTTTATGAGGATGAAAGTTTCCTCTCCTCAATGATAGTAAGCAATATAATCTCCAGCTACAGTGCCTCAAGAGACCCCCCTTCTAGGGTGCTCTCCACCTGAAAGGGTTTATGTATAATTGGCTTTGTGAAACCAAAGTCTGACTTTAAAATGCAAATAACTAGTCTCCAAAAATTCTTATCTGAGTCATGTTTTTGTTTATTTTTTAAATTTTTTAAAAATTTATTTACTTGTTGTTCAAGTACAGTTTTCTGTCTTTTACTCCCATCCCAGCCCACGCCTCCATTGCTCCCCCCTCCCTCCCATTTCCACCCCCCTTAGTTGTTGTCCATGTGTCCTTTATACCTAGTTCCTGTAAACCCTCCCCCTGTTCCCCTGAAACTTCCTCCCCTCTCTCCTTTGGTCACTGAGTCATCTTTTTAAAATGCAAATTCCTGGAAGATAAATTTTATCAAAAGTGAAAAAACCTTAGCCACCTGAGAAAATCAGTTTAACTTAGTTCACCTATGAACCTTCTAAATCAGTGAACTTTGTGCTATAATACCTATCTCATGAAAATTTGTCTCTCAAAAGTGTGAATGTGTACTAGCAGAGGAGTATATATTTCTAAAAATTATGAAATGTGTTTGCCAATCTAAAGAATGCCAATTGCCTACTTTTAGCAGTCTAATACAGAGTTAGAGTTTGGTCTTTTTCACTCTGTTAACGGGTCAAATTTTTTTCCTTTGCTTTATATTTTTCTTCCTACCTGATCTCTCCAGATTTTGCAGTTTTTAATGAGTGATTCATGACAATAAATTTCTTGACATAAATTCAATTAGATTAGTTTCCAATTGTGGTTTTTATAATCAAGACCTTGACTGAAATGTCATATGTAAACATTCCTGGACTTTTGATGTCACCAAAAAACCTTGAGGAATTGAGATTTTAAACATTCAAGTAAGTATATGATAATGTCTAAATGTAGTGTTAATTTGCATATCTCTAACAATGGGTAGAACATTTTCTCATGTGCTTATGCCAATTAATATATGTATTTTCTGAACCCTCTATTTAAATATTTTGCCTATTTTGTAGGATTATTTGTCTTCTTGAGTTATAAGATATGTAGAGATATATAGTTATATCTATATATGCATAAGGTGAGTTGTGAGATAATATACAAATAACTTGGAAACAATCCTTTTGTCAGATATATGTATTATAAATACTTTCTGTCATCTGCAGTATGTCTTTTCACAAAATTTCATAAAACAAGCACCTATCATAAGAGCTTATCTCTTTAGTCTTGCCCAGGTATATGTCAGTTCTCTTGATCTTTGCCATATTTTACTGAAAACTAGATATTTGACATATCTCAGAATATGATATAGTTTAGAGTTTATTATGCAAAATAAATTCACTACGTTGATGACATTATGCTCATTGTACCTGGTGAAGAATAAGCAGTAAACGTTCTACAACTTTAGTATATTTGTTTACCAGCAAGAACCAGATTTTTGGTGACCAACTTGACCCAATGGACCCTTAGATTTGACATGAACAGCAACATTCTATCATAGAATCAAAAGGGGCATATTGTAGGCTAAGCCTGAGCAGTTCCAAAAAGGCACAGTAAACTGCATGAGCAGATGGCTCAGACTCCCAAGGTATATTTCTTTTTTAATTTTCTCTTTTCACCTCAACCATGTATATGGCCTTGAAGCAAGAGATGAAAGTGTTGGAAAGGATTCCTTATGATCACACAGTGGAGAAATAAAAAGAAAAGTTTTATCACTGGATATGTGTAAGGAACCAGTTTGAAAATGGAGAATGTGACTCAGCCCTGCATCAGAAGTCAACAGGAGCCAACTGGTGGGGAGGAGCCAGAAACCTCAGACAGGCTTTCCCATGGGAGCTAGGCCCAGAAAGTGCATCCACGCTGTTTTGGCTTGCTCTTTCTAAAAGTCCCTTGTCCTGGTCTAAAACAGTAGATGTTTACTGCCTATCTTCAAGATAATTTCCAAAGCCTGTATGAATTTTCCCAAGGATGGAGTGTAATCAGCTCGCCACCTTTCCCTTTTGCATTTGTTATTTTCGTTGCCTTGATGGTACCTAAAATGTAGACAACATTATGTGTAATAGATAATAAGACCCAAGAGAAACAATAAAAGCCTGTCCAGGCAAGGATTGGGGCACTGTCCCCTTGAGAGAGTGGCCAAGGTGCTCTCTCCTTTAGAGAAGCAGCTGTAGGACTCTCATCCCTTTTTTTTTTTCTCCACAGGACTTCTGTAGTCTGTGTGCATTTGTTCTTCAGCCACAACATGCAGACTCTGCAGGTCAGAGTTTGCAATAGATATGAAATGCATGACAGCTAGAAGTAGATGATACATTATAGTCTCATTCAGGGGGTGCCCTTGAAAGACAGAAGTGGAGTTAAATCTTTGCATTAAACAGAAATTAGAGTGATAGATCTGGCTGTCCATCTGGCGGGAAAGATGAGCACCCAGAGATATAAATCTAAAATGACTCACAGTCAGAGATTAACAGGTTCAGTGACTGGTCAAGAACTCAAAAAGGACAAAATTAGAAAACTAGTGACAGAAAAATTGGGGGGAGAGGTGTGTATAGGTATTTGTGAAAAAGTTAATTCCCATATAAACACCCACAATTGTTAGCCAGCATTGAGGAGACTTTTAATAACCAGGTGAATAAAATGATATGTGCTGCGTGCATCAGGAAGCCTCTTTCTCCAGACACTCTGATGTTGATGTTTGATTAATGAACCAATACAGAGCCAATTCATGCAGCTAAAATGAATCCCATGCATGGGATCAATGAAGTCGTCTTCTACTACCTAAGGCCACTCTGGAACTAAAGAGTGCTCAATCTGCCAAACGCCATGGGCAAATCTGGGTCCCAGATGAGATACGGATTCTGGGTGGGACAGCAGAATGGCTAGGTGACAGGGTTACATTGGCAGTATCAGATTGAAGAAGGCAGTACTAGGCTCTTAATCAAATAATGAATTTGACTTCCTGCCCACAGTTCTTCTTCAGCACCATCGTGCACAGGCACAAGGACTCAATGTGCTGGATCATCTCTCCTGTATTCAACTTACCATCGTCTCTGCACTAATTTCCTGAGCCACCTCACAGCACCATAGCCATACCTCTCTCAGGGACAAGTATTTAAATTACTGATATGACAATTGGCTTAACACAGGTCTGATGTTACCTTTCCTTGTGCCTTCATTATATGCTCCATGCTGCTGGCCCATGACTGACTTGCTGAAAAGTGACATTTTCCTCTGGGTGTGTGCATGCATAACACTGAAGTGTGATAAAGATAATATCCTTTAAAATCTTTATTCTTATCTAGCCGACCACTGGTTTTACTTGTCTGTTTGGTATTTATGTATTTTTCTTTTGTCTCACTAGAATATAAAAGATAGGAAATATGTTTGTCCTCTTCACTTTTATGTCCCTTGTACACCGCACCCGAGTGCCTGGTACGCGGTAAGTACCTAATACATATTTGTTGAAAAGGATGAAACAAAAGAACCACTTTCATCTTGCAGCATAGAGAATTTTAGCCAGAAATGAACATGTCCACCCATTTTCATTCACCAATACATCCTGTGTGGTTTTAGACTATTTTCGGACTTCCTTTTAGCCTTCGATACATTGTACTAGGAGAAATATCCAGGGCTGAAACTCTTCTCCACTTTCTCGTGCTATTTTCCGGGTAGTGTCCCAGGCAAGCATTTCAGGAGATGGAGGCTGAAGATGGCTACATGGTGCTGATGGGCAAGACTCATGTCAAATCCCAGCAGAGATCTAAAGGTAGGAATATTGTTATCCCTCAGCCAGGCTCCAGTTGAAAATTGCATTATGCTCTCAGGAAAAAAAACAATGATCTTTGAATAATTTTGAAGTGTTAAATTTAACTTTATTTGGGGATTTTAAAAAATGGTCGTAAGCTAAGTTTATGTAGACTCATGTAAGCATCAACAATCAACCAAAAAAAGCAGCACTTTTGCAGCCATGGGGCCAGGGAAATGCTAATAAGATAGTGTATAACCACCTAGATGTGGTGTAATAAGAATATAAAGGTAATTTTCAAGTAAAGGATCAAAGTTAGCATTCTTACAAAAATTATTCCTCCTACAAAACACAAGATTCTTAAAAGCAACTGAGTGGCTGTTATATCTGTTGAAAATGCCTGTGATACTCAGAAGTAGAGATGTAGTGCTGATGGAGGGAGTAGCAACGGTCCCACAGTGTTGTACAGCTTACAGAAGCATTTTTGTATGTACAGATTGTATTTCAATAATCTTCGGAAAGGAGCCATGGAATGGCAGAATAGTCCATTGGGGACGAGAAAGGGGGAAATAAGAGAGAACATCAATCTGTGCTGTTTAGGACTGTTGTATCTGATCAAGGTTGTTTTGTTTCCAAGCTGTTACAGATTTTATAGGCAAGTTTGATGCACAACGTACGTTTTCTAAACCCAGTATGTTTACAATACAATTTTCGATAGTTCTGTTGATAGTCAGGATCAAAACTGGGATGACATGGGCCATACATTTTGGAATTGCTGGGAAAAACCACAGTCCTGCCACATGTGTGCTTGCCGTACTTCTTCATGTATTATCCCAGTTTCCACCCATCAAATTCAAACATTTTTCCATAAACACGATACTGTTGGCATCATCTGCAGACCCAAGGTCTTTTTCATAGTCTCAGTAATAGGAAACTAACACTTCCTTTTTCACTGGTAACTTATGTAGTGGAAAGTAAGACCATCGCACTTGAATAGAATTGGACTTTAAACCCCATAGATGTAGTGGTTAAACTAAATTATTAACTTTTTTAAAAGTTCATAAACCACTGTGTAATAGGTGAGTAAAGATATATAAAATTTGAAGGTAGATACATAAAGTAGAGGTTAACAGTCCTTTAAATTATTAGTGAAAGAAAAATAGGGAGCAGAATATGAATTAGGCCTGCAATTAAGCAAAAATGACATTTCTGTAAACATGCTTTTGCCTGTTTACAGAAATGAGAGCAGAAGTTGAAAAGAGAGCTGAGATTTCAGAGATGAATTTGGAGATTTGATGTGTGTAAAACACAGAAAATCATGAGGCGAGATTAGCAACTTGAGCATTATTTAGGGAGCAAAATAGGGACTGTTACTCTCATGGTACCTGGTATTTTTCTCACTAGCACGTATCACAATGATGTATTTACTCAATGTAATAAAATATAATTATAAAAAAGGTAGATATAATTAATCTTGTTACTAAATCCAGACAGAAAATTTTTCCATCATAAAACAATAATACAAGTAGCGTTCTGGCAGCAGTGATGATGATAAGTTTCGCAGAGGAATTTCATAGTTTGCACCATGGACGCCAATGGCTTGGAGTCCAGCAGTTCTGGAATGGGCCAGAGCAAGGTCTCACCCATTGTAGCTTAGGTAAAAGAATATTAATTGTTAATTTATAGCTATAGTATGATTTGGCAATGAGTTAAAACTTTCTATTCTTGGTGTGTATAGGATCAGTTAACTTCAGATAAATATGCTTGGAATAGGTATTCCCTCATAACCTGCAGAAATACATTTTGAGGATTTTTAGCTAAATAGAGGTCTTTTCACTTTTGTTTGAGTGAAGAAATACTCACAGGCACGAAAAAAATAGAAACATACTTTGGATTTATTTTGTCATAAAGACAATTGGGTAAATTTCAAAACTTACAATATACAACACATCCTATAACTATGTGTTATAAAGACATGCACCAAGTCCATAAAAATCAGTGAAATCGATTGAACTAAAACATCCAGATTTGAGAAGCACTCTTTCATTATGACTGAGAACAGTACTTTTCAACCTTTTTCATCTCATAGCACACATAAAATAATTACTAAAATTCTGCAGAACACCAAAAATATAGTTTTTCCTCAACTGAACAAAAAATAGGTGTAATTTTGATTCATTCACAGTGAATGGTTATTGTTGTGTTGGCTGCTGTCATTTTTTTAATTTGACAGTCTAAGGGAGAAGGGATCAGTGCCCCTGACTAAGTAGTCAGGTATTGCATGTTTTAAAAATTCTTGTAGCACTTCAGTTGGAAATTGCTGACTTAGAACTATTTGTGAGATGTACAACCACAGTGATGAAATTAAGTGCTTGTTTATTTATAAATCAGTACAAACTGGGGAATAATGATCTGAGCATCAAATTACTTGACTTTCTCTTTGGGCACTAGCAAAACAAATTGGCTTGAATGTTTATAGATTTAAATAGCATTCCCTATGATTACATTAAATATATTCCTATGTCTCTGGTGCTTCTCCCATTTATTCCTCTTTAAAGAGGTCATTCCTGCCAACTGTGATCCAAAGTAGTACTATGGCAAAAATTTGGTATCGACAGCATTAACCAGAAATCTGCGCTGCATAAGCTGGCACTGATTCTTGTCCAAAAAGTCAAAGCCAGGGGTACACAATATATCATATCTAAAGGTGAGATAGTATGTGAATATTCCCAGTACCATGACTGGTACATAACAGAACTTCAATAAATGTTCCTTTCCTTTTTTTATTTGTTTACAATGGGTCATTAAAATAATTAATACACATAACACAAGTACACTTGACAATGAACAATCCAAAAGTGAAATTAAGAAAAACAATTTTATTTATAATATCATTCTACAGTATTATCATGTGTTATATATAATTTCTATTTTATATGTATGTGATATATAGAATATATTATATATACATTTATATATTATGAATTACTATGTATTATTATGTGTGTAATATATAAAACATAAATCTTATATATTAAATTATATAACGTTATATAATATAAATTTTATATATTTACATTATATTTATGTATTAGTATGTAACACATATAATACTATGCATTATAAATTATATATTTATATAGTATATATTTAATTTAATTAAATTAATTTATTTTTAGAGAGGGGAAAGAAAGAGAGAAAAACAGGGAGATAAACACAAGTGTGTGGTTACCTTTTGTGCACCCCCTACTGGGGACCTGCTCTGCAACCCAGGTATGTGCCCTGACTGGGAATTGAACCCATGAGCCTTTAGTTCACAGGCCAGCTCTCCGTCCACTGAGCCATACCACCCAAGGCCTAATATATATTTAATTTAATAACTAATTTTAAGTAATCGAAAACATCACTAAATAACAAAGCAAGGCAGGAAAATGTTTCAAAAGTGAATAATCACAAGAGTTCTAAAATTCATGAAAAAAATCTCAACCTTTCAGATTTCGCCTTATATCCATTTTATTACTGCATTTTGCTAGTAGTTGGATGCATTGGGATCCTCACTTTTGTGATGACAGTGATTGGCCTGAACTTTTCAAGTGAGTATGAAACTTTGATTTATTTTTGCCTTTTCCAAAAATAAATTGATCTTTAAACCCTCTTAATTTAAAATCAGGTCCACACTGTAGTCCAAAGTTGGTAAACTAAACTTTCCACTCACATGTCATGTTACACAATTATTTTCAATTTAAGAAAAATTAAGAAACACTCAAATATAAAACATACATTTATTCTGCATGTTTTAAAAAACTTCTAGTTAAAGATTGACTTATTATAGTACAAAAAATCAGTGATGTATTTTTATAGGCTATTATGTACTTATTGGCATCACTTTGAAAAATAATAATTTAAATGTATGAATGTGCTAGTTTAAAAAAATGACCTGTTTGAAAACCATTTTAGATGGACTCCTGCACCTGTTTTTTCCTCCTGAAGTTGTATTTAATGTGTGTAACCTGTGTTCATTCTTCTGAAATAACCAGACCACTGCATGGTTCTATAGTTTTTTGTGTTTCTCTTGAAACTGTGATTCTTGAAAATGTAGGGCTAAAATGGGGATTGTAATATACAATGTCGACATGGAACATAAACTCTAAATGGGATCTCTAAATGTAGATGGGCCCTAAAGCAAGTTCTCTGTGGGAAACTAAGAAGTAAAGTGTCTATTTTATTTTGGGCAATTATATTTGTTTTTATGTTTTTCCTGATGCAACAGAAAATGTCAGATTTTTCTAATACCAAATAAATGTTCTTCTTTAGGTAATTCTTCTCTACTTTTAACAGCATTTTGACTGAGAAGTTGTCAACCAATCACATCCTTTAATATATTCAACCCTTGTATTGAAATCAATTACTGATAATATGAAATTGCCCACTTCTTTAACATTCAATATTAGGTGACTATTCATTTTCATGAGTTTATCTAAGTAAGCATCATTTAACCAGTAATTCTAGAATATGGACTATACTGTAATATTAAAACTTTAAAAAAAATTCTAAATGCAGGAGCAAATGGTTTCATTTGGGCACCAAGTATGATATTTACAGGCCACCACACTCTACTGTGACTCAGCAAAATGCAAACAGTAAAATGACATCGTTGATGCCATCTTCATCCTTTCAGAGAAAGATGCTTTTTACAAGAGATGTGTAAAACTTGAAAAATTGATGAAATATCAGTAGGGACAATATTTTTCTTAGTGGTTTTCAATTCTAATAAATTAGCGACAATTTTAATATTTGTGTTTGTAATAATTTGTGCTTGTACTTTGACCAGTTTGAAAATACATTTCATGGCTTTCAGTTCAAAACAAATTGTTGATCATAAATGTTTACATCTGCTCTTTCCTAAGATTCTATATCAGAACAGTAAAAGATAACAACATAAAATAAGTCAAAAGCACAGAGATGGAAAAGAAAAAAAATTATAGAAATGAAAAGCAGATGGGATAAGGCTATTGAATTAATCAGTGCACACAACCACACGTCAAAGAACATCCCCAAAAGGCAACAATGGGGATGAAAGGTTTTCCTCACGGCCAAACCCAGGGAGGGCCCCCTTTTCAGAGGGGATTAGGGTGGAAAGAAAGGTGGAAAGCAATGCAGTTAACTAAAAGACTTTCTAAAGAATGTTCTTTTTCATTGCTCTCTTGACTACCTCTTGCTCCACCCATGGAGTGGTAGTTGGTACCATATCATGGCAAAAAAAAAGAACAAAAGAAAAAAGCCCAACAAAATCCTTTTAAGACAATCAGCTATATAACTAAACAAGCTGGGGCTCCTCTTTTATGGAGTCGTGGTAGATATCGGCTCCCTTGTTTTGGTTCTGGAGAGGTCCAGGGTACATGCAATGTTGGTTTATTGCATAGTTTGGATATTTCCTATGCCCATTCTATGTAAAAATTCATAAAATCTATCCAAATATCTCAGAGTATAGAGAAAATGTCAGAAAATATTAGTAAGTATAAATAATTTGAGATTATCTGAGATAAAATTCCAACATATTATCTCAGGAAGGATGGCATTGCTGACAAATTTCCAGAAGAGAAGAGGGGAAAAAGCACATGGGAAATAATAAAATAAATATTTAAAAATTTTTAGGAGAAAAAACAAGCAAACAAACAAAAAACAGAGGTTTTCAACTTATAACAAAAAGTCCACCAAATGTAGAATAAAATGCAAAAATAAATATAATAAACAGATGATAAATAGATAAGATAGATTGATAGACAAACAGATAGGTAAATCCTCATTATATTTCAGGACACAATCAGTAAAAATGCAATCCTAAATGTTTACGTAAAGAATTAGTTTTTTTCCCAAAGCAAAAAGAAACAAATTGGCATCTGATTTTTAAACATATATAAAATGACATGACTGCAGTAGTTCTGAACATGATTTAACTTAAGTTTAATATAATTTTTTTATGCACTCCTTTGGAACAAATTAAGGAAGAGGGGTGTTGATATTAGAGTAAAGCTAGCCCAAGAATATATTGAAATGTACATTGTAGGTTATCAGCTCTTCTGTGTTCCAGGAAAGTAATTAATTCAGTCTGCTTGAAAACCATCTATGAATACTGCAACCAAGAAGCTGAAGACACGTGGTATGATACAAAGGGTGTGTCTAGAACAAAAAAAATAACATCAAAAATAATATATAAAGGAGCAATAGGTTTAAGAGGTTTAAGAATGTATACAATATTTAGAATTGTGATTAGCTCTCAAAAGAATAAAAATATTAGAAAAAGTGGTTCATTCTGGGGAAGGAAAGGAGTAGAAGCCTGGTAGAAGAGAAATATATTCAGTTTTTTTTATTCTCATATACCTAAGTTTCTCTTCATGTTACTCATTATATTTTTTCTTTGCACTGAATACAGATAAAAAAATGGATTTCTCAAAGAACATAAATATCAACAGTCTAGCAGGTAATGTTTTTGTCTGATAAGTGTTGAATAAAAAAAACTCCACCAACTAGTTACACAGATTAAATATCAGGTTTTTAATACTTTAAAATGGTTATATGATAATCACATCATAGTAAATATTTAGTGTAGTTTAAACTAGTTATGATGGTTCATTTTATTTGTTAACTTGGCCCAAACGTTATGGTATCCAGGTATTTATTTAGTCAAACACTAACCTAGATGTTGCTGAAAGTGACAAAAGTACTTTTTAGATGAGATTACCAATTAAACCAGTAGATTCAAGGAAAGCAGATTATCTTCGATAATGTGAGTGGGCTTCATTCAATCCACTGAAAAGCTTAAGAGAGAAAATACTGAGGTTCCACACAGGAAGAGGGAATTCGGCCTCCATGCTCCAGACTCCAGCTGCAACATCAGCTCTTCCCTGGGTCTCCAGTCTGCCAACCTGCTCTTCATGAGAGCCAGTTCCTTGGAATAAGTCTCTCTTTCTCTCTCTGTGTGTTTGTTCTATTTCCCTGACTAATACACCAAGTAATAAATATGAAGGCATATTATATTATAAAGCAATATAATAATGCTTTAGTTGACCAGATAGCCAGTGGAGACAAACAACTAGGTTGGAATTTTAGATCTGATATTTATCTGTTGTATGACTTTGAGAAAATTATTCAATATGTGACTCAATTTCTCCTCTGTAAATTGGGGGTGATAATAACATTTATTTTAGAAAGTTTTATTTTGTTATATTCTTAGATTTTTTTTATGAAAACTAGAAGTAAAACTAGGTACCTTTCACACAGCTTCAAAAAGTGTTAGTACATAGTCAGTATTATTTCATCTATGTCTCTTCCAATAACACACTCCCAAACTTGATTGTATTAAAGCAATTACCAGATATCATGCCATTTAATATTTAAATATTTCAGTGCATGATTCTTACAGTTAAAGGCTCCTTGTGCTTAACTCAATCACAACATTATTATAACTCCTGTGTTAGTTTTCTCTTGATATGCAACATATTACCACATATTTACCAGTTTAAACCAAAACTTATTTAATACTCAACCTCCATGGGTTGGGAGCATGAGCATGGATTAACTAGGTCTCCTGTTCAGGGTCTCATGATATGTAATTTAGGTGTTTGCCAGGCCACACACATTTCTGGAGCTGAGGTTCCAAACTTATGTTGTGGTACAATTCAGTTACTTGTGGTTGTAGGACTGAGGTCATTGCTTTATTGATGGCTTTCAGCCAGGGCTACTCTAAGCTCCTGCATTTTCTTGCCATCTGTACTCTTTCATAGACTCTCAAGACATGGAAGTATAATTCTTCAGAGCCAATAGGACTTCTCTTTCTCTTCAAGGAAGGCCCAGTCTCCTTTTTAAGGTCTTCTATTTCCTTTATAAGGTCTTATGCCCTCCTGTGATAATCTCTCTTTTCATGAACTTGAAATCGACTGACTGGGGACTTTTTTTTGTCTTCAAAATCCCTTCACTATGAATACAATAAAACTTAACCATGAAAGTGATATCTCATAATGTTCACAGGCCTGACTCACATTCATTACATGAGGGAATTACATGAACCATGTACATCAGGGGCAGGAATCATGTCTAACACAATGCCTAACAAAATTAACAATAACTTATTAGTATATATATTATCTAGTCACCATTAAAATGTCTTTTTATTTTTCTCTGATTTGTTAGAATCACAATCAGAAGGAAGACCACAATTGTATGTTTAAAACGCCTTGCTGTCTCTTGAATCTCTTATCTTCAGGTCCTCTTTACTTATCTTCTCTTTGCCATTTATTTGTTGGAAAAAATGGGCCAAGGTTCTGTATAATATCTCATACTGTTTATATTTCTGTCTTGTCATTTAACATGTTCAACTATTTTATAAAGTGATTTTAAAACCTAAATATATGCTAGGTGCTTTAAAACTCACAATAATCATTATAGGTGTTATCATGTAAAAATATATAATAGATGTATTTTTAAACATATTTGTTATTATTATGTAAAAATTTGAGACAAGAATTGATACAAAGTAGCTAAATAAATTTCTTTCTCTCCGCCCCTTATCCCCATAATATTTCTTTCTATAGAAGCTAAGACTAGAAGCTAAGTTAACACTAATAGCTCTTTGGACAATTGGTGTCCACATTTTAAATCATGGTTAGGTGTTTTAACATCTTACATGGATCATTTGGACTACTTTTAGTATATTTTGCAGCTCTATTCACCTGTACTTCAGGTGAATGCACTTCATTCACCTTCTATCAATATTCACTTAATGGAATCACTTGGTCCAAATGACTCCTTCTCACTAATAATAGTGAGTTAATAGCTCCCCTTAAATTTAAATTATGAGGTATATTTGAGATTATTTTATACCTTTTAGTTATGCACTGGTACAGCTGAAATTAGAATTCAGTTATCCTGAGTCTTTAAATTATGTTTTTGCAAAAAATGTAACTATTCAGGCCCGACAACTCTTGGCCTGGTACAAAGTATAATAATTTTGTAGAGTTTAATTAACTTTTTCTTGCATTTTCTTTTAGGAGATAATTATATGTGCCAAAATGACTGGCTGTTGAACCAAAGGAAGTGTTACAAATTTTTAACTTCTTCTAGAACTTGGAATGAGAGTCAACGTGATTGCATGAAGCTCCAGGCACATTTGCCAGTGATTCACACTTTGAGAGAGCTGGTGAGGAATCAAACACAAGGTCTAAGTGCTCCAGGAGGAGTTGCTAGGTGCAGTTCTAATATGTGTGGGTAGTTTGTAGTCATCAATTTGAACATTCATTAGCCCTAATATAATTACTATTGTTTTTGATACAACAGTATTTAGGAAAGAAATAATCATTTACTTCTTCATTAATGCCTGGCACAGTGACTTACTCTGTAGAAGGTATTGACATGTTTTTGAATAAATGAATGAACTGTTCCTTCTGCAGGAGTTCATACAGAAGAGTTTAAAACCTGGACAGCCTAGTTGGATTGGACTATACATTGTGCCCCCAGGAAAGCAATGGATATGGATAAATGAACACCCTTTTGTGAAACAAAAAGAGTAAGTCATTATTTGAGAGTAGGAATGGTATAATGATGCTGTTTTATTTATAGAAAAGTAATTTAATTAAGCTTTCTTGATTACCAAGTTTGCTTTTAAGCTTTCTTAATTCTTGCCTCACTTGTTTTCAAATTATATCTCTCTCTTTTTTTCTTTCTATCATTTTTATTTCTTCTTATTTTTTTAAACTTTCAGTAATGTTGAGAAATGTGGTTAGAAATTAGTCATTATGGCATTTGGAAATTATTAATTGTCAAAAACTGATTATTTAAAAAGTAAGCTGATTTGAATCTCATTACAATAATTTGAAGCAAATATTTTTATATAGTAAATGCAAAAATAAAATAAACTTACAAATAAAAGCATCTGGAATATATAAAAATGTCTCATGCATTGATGACAGAAAGTATGAATTTAGGAGATCCAAATGGTGGAAGAGTTAACATTAACTTCCTCCCAGGACCAATCTGGAATTACAACTAAATTGTAGAGAAATTATCCAGAAAAAACAGCTGAACAGTAGTGGAAGAGAAGCCTTACAACCACGGACAGACAGAAGACACAAACCCAGTGGGACTGGTGTGGACTGTGGAGGAGACACAAAAGGGCCACCTGGGTTCCCATGATTGGCAGCTGAGGTACCAGAGGAATATTTCAGCAGCTGGGGGGTTTCCCCTGAGAAGTATGAGGTCTGAATCCCAAGCTGGGCTCCCCAGGCTAGAGCACCAGAGCCCCAAACTAACCCAGATAGCTGGAATACTAACTTTTCCAGCTGTGAAAAGTGGCAAGGTTTCTCTCTGCTAGGGACAGACAGATAGCTAGAGTCACAGAAGGTTTTTAAAAGGGCAATGCACAAATTTTCAATTGCAGCCACTTACCCTGGGGTTCTGGTAAAGGAGGAGCAGAGTGGACTAGAGATGCCTGAGAAGAGACCGAGAACAGTAGCTTTGGGGAGAGAAGTGAGAGAGCAGCTGCCAGGATCCCAGTGCTGAGTCATCCCCCAGACTGCAGGAGCCATCTTGCTCTGGCAGTGTTCCCTTCCAAGTGGGCATCAGCCTGAGTGGAGGCAATAGCACGACATTCAGAAATTACTCTGCCCTTCCATGTGGTTCATAAGCCTGACTGCTGAGTGCAGAGTGACTAGATTAACAACTGAAGGAGTCAGCTATAGACTGTGGATCCCTGGTAGTCTTGAACAGGTTTCCTAAGGCCAGACTGGGACACAAACTGATATCACCAGAGGTGGATACAGAAAAAACAAAACAAAACAAAAACAATGGTAAATACTAGATGCAACTGAGATGAATTCTGCCATGGTCTTCTTCATGATGTGTGATATTTTCACTCATGCATAGGTTTTTAACATTCATTCCTTGTCCTTCAAGTTTGTTCATATGAAGTCTAGATTTTATACTATAGCTTATTTCAATTCTTATATTTTGCTCCTCCATTCTCTAACACCATTTTACCCTCTCCTTTCCTCTTATTTTCATTTTAAATTTGTTTTCTGTCTTGCTATGAACTGTTTCCATTCTGCACTCTTACTATTTCTGCCCCCTCCAGACTCTCAAAACCATTTTTCTTGTCATTCGTCATCTTGTTATTTTTTCACTCTTAAAATACCTTTATTTTCTCTCTACTTTTATCAATCTTTATTTTCGTTGTGGATAGGGCAGTTGTTGCATTTCTTCAATTTTATCTCTAAATCTTCACTATTTTGGTATTTCAAATCTCAAATTTTACCATTCCTTTCTCCTATTTTGCCATTTTCCTACTTTTATATTTTCATCTCAAATTTTAAGTTTTCCCTGTCTTAGCCTGGTTTTCATTCCTCACTCTGAACATTCCTTCTCCCTCTAACGTCTCAAAATCACTTACCTTTCTTCCAGACAGCTCCTAAGCTTTTCTTTCTTTTGTTTTCCCTCTTACTCTCACTTCAATTTCATTAATCTTAACTCATCTATTGTTGATAATGCTGTGCTGGATCTTTTTCTCCTATTTGGTTCCTATTTTTTATTTATTTTTTCTTACTCCCTGTCTCATTATATATTTTATACATTTCCCTCCTCCTGCTCCATTTTGCCTTCTTCATTCCCTTTTTTATTTATGATATAATATTTCTTTCTCTCTTTGCCTTGCCCCAATTCCCTACTCTTATTATTGCTCCTCCCTCTACTCTCTCAAAATCATTATTCTTTCAGTTATTCATCTCCTATTTGCTTCTCCTTTCTTATAGTAGTCTTAATATATTTACACCCTTATTGATACTGACTCATTTGCTGCTGATGGTTTGTCTATGGGTAGTGGTTATTTTTGCAAGTAGGGGTTTGTTTCCTGGGCTGTGTGGTTTTGTTCTGAAAGCACCTGCATGACCAGATATAAGACATGGTGGGTGGAGTGACTCTCAGTCAGCCAACTAGAGAGAAGGACCCACCAAAGAATGACCCAACAACAATCAAAACCCGATTACAACCAGAGAGCTAACATAAACAGAATAAAGGGCATCCCAAGGATATCAAGTTCAGGCGATCAAGGAGACTGCACCACTGAATCCCATAGGTCTCCCAGCATAGAAGTTCATACCACAAGGACAGGGAGTCAAAGCAGATCAATCTAAGAAGCAGAAACAAAAAGAAGAGCCCTATAAAGGGAAAGAAAGAAACAACCCCCAATCAAAAGGAAAGGAGGGATCCCCAGAAAGAAGCTAAATGAAATAGTGGCAAGTAAACTATCAGACATTGAGTTCAAAAGAAAGGTGATAAAGAAGTTCAGTGAGCTCCATGACAACTACAAGGAACTATAGGGAAGCTATAAGGAATTTACTTTGAAATACATCAGCATGAAAAAGAACATAGAAACTATCAACAAAATCTAAGAGGAAATGAAGAATACAATTTTGAATTGAAGAACACAGTGGAAGGAATTAGAAGTAAGCTAGAGGAAGCAGTGTATCAAATCAGCAAGCTGGAGGACATAGTAGGAAAAAATTCCCAGACAGAGAAAAAAAAACAAGAAAGAACTAAAAAAATGAAGAGAGTTTAAGGGAGCTGTAGGACAACATATGATGTAACAATATCCATATAATAGTGATACCAGAAGGAGAAGAATATGAGCAAGATATAGAAAACCTGTTTGAAAAAGTGATGACAAAAAACTTCCCTAACCTGATGAGAGAAAAAGTCACACAAGTTCAGGAAGCACAAAGGGTCCTCAAAGAGGCCCCACTGTAAGACACATTATAACAAAAAAGGCAAAATTTAAAGACAAAGAGAGAATATTAAATGCAGCAAGGGAGAAGCAGCTAATAACATACAAGGGAGCCCCGATAAGGCTATCAGCTGATAGAAACACTATAAGCTAAACAGAATGGCAAGAAATATTCCAAGTAAGGAAAAGAAAAGGCCTGCAACTGAGACTACTCTATCTAGCTAGTCTATCATTTATATAGAAGGTGAAATAAGAAGCATCCCATTTTTAAAAAAGCTAAAATAACACATCTCCACCAAAGCAGCATTGCAAGAGATGCTAAAGTCACTGCTTTAAGAAGATAAGGAAAGAGAGGGAATGAGAAAGGAATGCAAGCACAAAGGGAAAATGTCAATGAATAAGTGCCAATCAATAATAACCTCAAATGTAAATGAATTAAATGCTCCAATCAAAAGATATAGGGTGACTGAATGGATAAGAACATGGCCCACATATATGATGTCTACTAGAGATCCACCTCAGAACAAAAGATCTATATAGGCTGAAAGTTAAGGGATGGAAAAAATATTCCAAGCAAATAGACCTAAAAAAAAGCTTGGGTAACAATACTTATATCAGACAAAATATATTTCAAAACAAAGACCATGAAAAGGGGTAAAGGAGGACACTATATAATACTTAAGGGAACAATTCATCAAGAAGTGATAACCCTTATAAATATATATATATGCTTAACATATGAACACTGAAATATATAAGGAAAATTTCAGAGGACTTCAAGAAAGATGTTGACAGCCACACACTCATAGTAGGAGATCTTAACAGATCATTGTTAACAGTGGATAGATCATCCAAGCAAAGAATTAACAAGGATATTGTGTCATTGAACAACACTCTAGATCAACTGGAGTTAATTGATACAGAACCTTTCACTACAAAGAAGCAAAATATACTTTTTTTGCAAATGCACATGGAACATATTCAAAGATAGACCACATATAGGTCAGAAAAAAAGCCTCAGATAGCTCAGAAAATATTAAATCATATCAAGCATCTTCTTGGATCACTCAGGCTTGAAACTAGAGACCTACTTCAAGAAAAAAACTCAAAACATTCAAATTAATGGAGACTGAATAACATGCTGTTAAATAACGAATGGGTTAACAATGACATCAAGGGAGGAAACAAAAAGTTTCATTAAACAAATGAAAATTAACACACAACAGCCCAAAACTTATTGGACATAGCAAAGAGAGTGTAGCGAGGAAAGCTCATAGCCATACAGACTTACCTCAGAAAGATAGAAAAATTTCCAATAGACAACCTAAGTCTATATCCACAAGAACTGGAGGAACAACAACAACAAAAAGCCCAGAGTAAGTAGAAAGAAGGAAATAATCAAGATCAGAGCAGACTTAAATGACACAGAGACTAAAATAGCAATTCTAAAGATTAGTAAGTCTTGGACCTGGTTCTTTGAGAAAAATAAGTAAAATTGACAAGCCTTTAACCAGACTTACTGAAGAGAGAGAGAGAGAGAGAGAGAGAGCTAGAATAAATAAAATAAGAAAATAAAGAGGAGAAATAACAACAAATATCATAGAAATACAAAAGATTGTAACAACTATGTGCTGAGGATGAACAACTATAAGCCAAGAAATTTGACAACCTGAGAGAAATGGACAAATATCTAGAAAATATAATCTTCCCAAACTGAATTAAAAAGAAGCAAAAGCCTGAATAGACTGATAAAATTGTGAAACTGAAGCAGTAATAAAAAAACTCCTGGTATA